TTCCAAAGCATGGAATGCGTCATGTTGCGCACTCTTCTTGTTATTTGAGGCGGCGTCGATTGCGGCAAATTTTGCCCACAAAGGGTGTGGGCAAAATCTGCGGCTATCGACTCTTGGTGTTTTGCTCTGAAAACACGGCGGCGTAGATTGCAGCAAATTTTGCCACGAAAGGGTGCGGGCAAAATCTGCTGCTATGAACGCCTGGTGTTTTGCTTCTGAGAACACGGCGGCGTCGATTGCAGCAAATTTTGCCAAGAAAGGGTGTGGACAAAATCTGCTGCTATCGAAGCCTGGTCTTTTGCTTATGATATGTTTCATGTTATTGTAGTAATTTAAGCACAAACACGGTGGACCGATAACAGTACCACCATGTCTACTGTGCTGTTTAGTATGGAGTTGGCGAGATAACAATACACAAACAAGAGAGGGGGGAGACGGTGGACCGAAAACAGTACCACCGTGTTCAGGGACCGAATACAGTACCCCGCTTTCCCGGAGACCGAAAACAGTCCTCCGGGTTGAGTTAACGCTGCATTCACTGTAGGCTCCGCGCGTTCGATATTGAGAATCAAAAGAAACCATACCTGAGGCGAGACTTTATTTTATTTAAGGTATTTGTTTTCAAAATATGTAGAAATAAATGCAGTGACAGACTTGAAATAATAATTATTATCAGTATAATAATGACATTTTTCTTTTAGAATTGCTATATCGACTATTTTTCAAAATCATTTTAAAAACGATGTAAATAAAGTAAAATATAAATAATATAAATGGTCGATTTACATTATTTATATTGAAAACCGATATAAATATAATGTAAAAGAATGTAAATAATATAAGTAGCTCATTTACAATATTTAGATTGGTTTTTATGTTTTTTTTATGTAAATAATGTTAACGGGTAGGGGTCCCAGACCCGAACCTAAATAATGTAAATGACCCATTTACATTATTTGTATCGGTTTCTGATATATTTCCGATGTGTTTCATGTAAATGGCACATTTACATTATTTACATCGGTTCCAATGTATTTCCGATGTAAATAATCTAAATGGGCACGGGTCCCAGACCCGGATCCTCACAAAAAACCAATATAAATAATATAAATAATGTAAATAATGTAAATGGCCCATTTACATTATTTACATCGGAAATATGTATTTCCGATGTAAATAATGTAAATGGGCACGGGTCCCAGACCCGGACCCTCACAAAAACCAATATAAATAATATAAATAATGTAAATAATGTAAATGGCCCATTTACATTATTTACATCGGAAATATGTATTTCCGATGTAAATAATGTAAATGGGCACGGGTCCCAGACCCGGACCCTCACAAAAACCAATATAAATAATATAAATAATGTAAATAATGTAAATGGCCCATTTACATTATTTACATCGGAAATATGTATTTCCGATGTAAATAATGTAAATCGCCCATTTACATTATTTACATTATTTATATTATTTATATCGGCTTTTGGGAGGGTCTGGGTCTGGGACCCCCCCATTTACATTATTTATATCGGTTCCGATGTATTTCCGATGTAAATTATGTAAATGGACACGGGTCCCAGACCCGGACCCTCCCAAAAGCCGATATAAATTTATAAATAATGTAAATAATGTAAATGGCCCATTTACATTATTTACATCGGAAATATGTATTTCCGATGTAAATAATGTAAATGGCCAATTTACATTATTTACATTATTTATATTATTTATATCGGCTTTTGGGAGGGTCTGGGTCTGGGACCCGTGTCCATTTACATTATTTATATCGGTTCCGATGTATTTCCGATGTAAATAATGTAAATGGACACGGGTCCCAGACCCGGATCCTCACAAAAACCAATATAAATAATATAAATAATGTAAATAATGTAAATGGCCCATTTACATTATTTACATCGCAAATATGTATTTCCGATGTAAATAACGTAAATGGACACGGGTCCCAGACCCGGATCCTCACAAAAACCAATATAAATAATATAAATAATGTAAATAATGTAAATGGCCCATTTACATTATTTACATCGGAAATATGTATTTCCGATGTAAATAATGTAAATGGGCACGGGTCCCAGACCCGGACCCTCACAAAAACCAATATAAATAATATAAATAATGTAAATAATGTAAATGGCCCATTTACATTATTTACATCGGAAATATGTATTTCCGATGTAAATAATGTAAATGGGCACGGGTCCCAGACCCGGTCCCTCACAAAAAGCAATATAAATAATATAAATAATGTAGATATGTAAATGGCCCATTTACATTATTTACATCGGAAATATGTATTTCCGATGTAAATAATGTAAATGGGCACGGGTCCCAGACCCGGACCCTCACAAAAACCAATATAAATAATATAAATAATGTAAATAATGTAATTGGCCCATTTACATTATTTACATCGGAAATATGTATTTCCGATGTAAATAATGTAAATCGCCCATTTACATTATTTACATTATTTATATTATTTATATCGGCTTTTGGGAGGGTCTGGGTCTGGGACCCCCCCCATTTACATTATTTATATCGGTTCCGATGTATTTCCGATGTAAATAATGTAAATGGACACGGGTCCCAGACCCGGACCCTCCCAAAAGCCGATATAAATAATATAAATAACTTAAATAATGTAAATGGCCCATTTACATTATTTACATCGGAAATATGTATTTCCGACGTAAATAATGTAAATCGCCCATTTACATTATTTACATTATTTATATTAATTTTATCGGCTTTTGGGAGGGTCTGGGTCTGGGACCCGTGTCCATTTACATTATTTATATCGGTTCCGATGTATTTCCGATGTAAATAATGTAAATGGACACGGGTCCCAGACCCGGACCCTCCCAAAAGCCGATATAAATAATATAAATAACTTAAATAATGTAAATGGCCTATTTACATTATTTACATCGGAAATATGTATTTCCGACGTAAATAATGTAAATCGCCCATTTACATTATTTACATTATTTATATTATTTTTATCAGTTTTAGAGGAGAGATCCGGGTCTGGGACCCCCCCATTTACATGATTTATATCGGTTCTGATGTATTTCCGATGTAAATAATGTAAATGGGCGCGGGTCCCAGACCCGGACCCTCCCGAAAACCGATATAAATAATATACATAATCTAAATAATGTAAATGGCTCATTTACATTATTTACATCGGTTCCGATGTATTTCCGATATAAATAATGTAAATAGCACATTTACATTATTTACATCGGTTCCGATGTATTTCCGATGTAAATAATATAAATAATAAAAATTAATTTAAAAAAAATGTATATAGAAAAAACAACAAGGCAACATAGTACATAAAGGTCCCTCTCTCATATTTATATACATGTATACATATGTGCGCATATATATATATATATATATATATATATATATGCAATTGTTGGGGGGGGTTTTCGGGGGATCCGGGATCAGATGATCAGGGTTGAGTCTTCTGGGGGTTTTAGGGGGAAGTCCGCAACCAGGCGCGAAGCTCCGAAACCGAAGGGAAGAACGGGTCATCACAGACTTTCGGGCAAAGTCTTGGGCACCTTTGGTCTGGAAGTTAAGGGTTTAGGGTTAAGGGTTAAGGGTTTAGGGTTTAGGGTTTAGGGTTTAGGATTTAGGGTTTAGGGAGTCTCCAGACCCTCAAGCCCTAAGCCGTTTTGTCCAGGCAAGGACATGAGGTAAAGTGTTTGTTGATAGCATCCCCACAAAGGAAGCCAGGGTTTCTGCCAATTGGGTCCCTGGTACCCAAAAGGGAGCCCTTTCTTTAGGTTAAGCTCCCAATCCCTGAACGGCAGCCCTAAACCTGAAACTCTTAATCCCTAAATCCCTGAACCCCAAACCCTGATAGCCGTAACATGAGTCCTGGAGCCCGTGGATAAACCTAACCCCTAAACCCTAAACCCTAAACCCTAAACCCTAAACCCTAAACCCTAAACCCTAAACCCTAAACCCTAAACCCTAAACCCTAAACCCTAAACCCTAAACCCTAAACCCTAAACCCTAAACCCTAAACCCTAAACCTTGAACCCTAACCCTAAACCCTAAACCCTAAGTGATAGGTCCGTGGGCCCTATGACATCAACCAGATCGCGGTCGTCGCCATCCAGGCGGCTTTGAAGAAGCCGCAGTACGTGCTGCTTGGGTGCAAAATGGCGCATCTGTGAAGGCTCAAGGAAGTTACCAAACAGGATATGAGTCGTCTTGTACCTACCCTACCTTGGGCTCACCTTGCTATCACCTCATTCAGAGCCTGCATGCTAAGTTCCCCGAAGCCCTAAAGCCCTAAAACCTAAAGCCGCACTCGGTTCTCGGGTAGAGTTCTCAACACGTTTGAGTTTGTGGTGGGGTTAAGGGTTGAGGGCTTAGATTCACAAGCCGGATATCTGACGCTCAAAAAAGAAGCTCAACTTAGTCCTCAGGGGGTGCATACTGTAGTACAACCCCTTACTATTCTTAGGTTGCCCAAACGGGGGGCCTAGTGTAGAGAACTACCCCTGAACCCAAGACCCGGAACCCCCCAACCCCAAACCCCAAACCCCAAACCCTAAACCCTAGACCCTAGACCCTAGACCCTAGACCCTGGACCCTAGACCCTAAACCCCAAGCCCTGAACTCTCCATGCCCAAGAGCTTGTGGATCTGAGGTTCGAGTACGTTCGGGAGGTCAACGAACGATCCAAGCCCCTTTTCGAGGCGCCAGTATGGCCTGCAAGGGTTTAGGGTTTAGGGTTTCGGGTTTGGGATGTTTAGGTTCTTTAGAGTTTTGCTGGCAGGGTTTTGAGGATTGTTTGCTTCGAGGGTTTTTGTGTTTTTGGGGCATTGGCTGCCTTGTATCCTAAGCCCCCAAGCCCGAAACCGCAGGAGATGCACCGTTGCAAGTGCCTGGCTTGCAAGCCCGCAAGAGTATCTTGATTGACTGGGAAGGGGTTAGCAAGTTCAGCCCATGTCGCGTCCTGGATCCAGCGGAGACTCGCTCGGTTCGCAGCACAGTGCCCCCTACCAGCGTGCAAAGAGAAAGGGCAACTTTCTGGACATGCCGCTGCAAGACCTCCAGAAACTCTGCAAGCGCCAGTGCCGCGGTTTGCGTTGTGAGGAAAGCGGAAGGTCCCTTGGGGACGAAATGAACCCTAGCATTGGGGTCACATTCCCTTACTACCATAATTCCCATTAAGGTACATGAACCCTAAACCCTTTTAGGGTTCCCTCAACCCTAAACCCTAAACCCTAAACCTTAAACCCTAAACCCTAAACCTTAAACCCAATTCGTCCCCAAGGTTTGGCAGAGTGCGCGACAACGCCAAGGTCCCAGGCTACATTCGCGTCCGAAGCGACCGGCTCGAGCATGAACCTCGGACAGAGCCTGATCATAGGGTTCTTAAGGGAGGGGGGTTTAGGGTTTAGGGTTTAGGGTTTAGGGTTGAGGGTTGAGGGTTTAGGGTTTAGGGTTTAGGGTTCAAGGGGGGTAGGTACCTAGGGAACCTCCTAGGGAATCTTAGGGCAGCTTCGGGAGCGTGAAAAAAGTAGTGGGGAGCATGCCTACATACCCCCTTGAACCCCCCTCCCTTAAGAACCCCTGTAAGCTGACGAAGGAGGAGGAAGAGCAGCTCCAACACACATGGCTCCAGAAGACTGCCAGGGACGTCTTGGAGGCCAACCTCGCGGCTAGGAGGCGCAGTGAGCACGCTGAGGGTGAGCAGATTCTCCGCATCCAGCTAACTTGTAGCTGGGTTGTGCTTTGGGACAATTTAATTCTCTCCTTCTAAAGGGAACCTGTTCATTCACAATCTTCAAAGGGTTCAAAGCACAACTCAGGTAGAAGTTGCGATGGCCTGCTCGCAAGCAGCGAGCCAGCCTCGGCACCGGAAGAGCTCTTCAACGAGCTTCGACCCTGGGTCGTCCACAACAAGTGGCAGCCATTGAAATATGTTCCAGGGGCCTGCAACGAGGACATACCAGACGATGCACGGGTCGTTTGCGCCTGTGCGCACCGCGGATGCGTGTCGGACTTTGCGGAGAATCATCTGATGCCATGCCTGAAGCTGATTCATGCGTCGCTTAAGAACGGGAACGGGGTCCTCCGACAGAAGCTGAGAGAGAAGAGTGCCAAAGCAAAGGAGAGGTACGGAGACGAGAAGGCGACCTACTTGAGGGTTGGCTTGGGTTTAAGGGACCTGGGTTCTTACACAGCGGTCCTGGAACTCTGGCCAAATGGATTCCGGTCCCCCAAGCACCACCACGGAGGATGTGCCGGAAGCATTCGAGTTCTGCATGGCGCGCTGGAGTGCCGCCTCTACGACAGCGTTTTGTCTGATGAGCCCATGGTATTTCAGGATGGGGACTGTGGACTGGAGCTCGAGGAAGCTACCTCGCAGCTGCAACTTGCGGTAGGAGACACGATCTGGTTAAATCGTGACAACTGGTTCGTCCATGACATGAACTGTGCGCCCGACTGCGCCTTCGCAGTATCGGTCCACGTCTACAAGAGCTGCACGGAGAGCTTCGCCTTCGTGGCGAACGCCCTAGAGATGGTCGAAAAAGCCACAAGGAAAGAGGACGCGAACGAGCAGAAGATGGGTGACCCAAACAATGATTCTGGGTTGTGCTTAGGGTTTAGGGTTTAGGGTTTAGGGTTTAGGGTTTAGGGTTTAGGGTTTAGGGTTTAGGGTTTAGGGTTTAGGGTTTACGGTTTAGGGTTTAGGGTTTAGGGTTTACGGTTTAGGGTACGATTCTGGGATAATGGATAGTTTCCGTTCTTTCCTTATAAAAGGAGACCTAGTCATAGATCATTTTCAAAGGGTTTACAGCACAACTTAGGATTTCTTCTGGAATGTACATCAGCTAGGTCTTCCGGAGGACGATCCCCGCGTGAAGGAGATGGGTCGACCTGAGTTTATCTACGACGTTGACGAGGGCATGCGCAGACCTGCTGGTCCAGGCAACTTCATCAACGACGTGTTGAAGGTAGAGGCGGCGCGCCTGAAACGCTTGCAGGAGAAAGCGCGACCTCGGAGCTGTGGGCAACGCTTCCTTCAGGGATGTGCCTTCTTGCTCCGCCGCCTTGCGCCTCTGCCAGCGCGACGGACGACGCAGGATGCCAGGGAGCTGGAAGAGCCGGAGGAGAAGGAATCGGAAGAAGTCACTGAAGAAGTCCGTGAGAAGGTCCCAGACTTCTTGGCCAGCATCGACGGCCAGTATCAAGGTGGCGAGAAGATGACACTCAGCTTTTCGAACTCAGGCCTGACAGAGGCTCAAGCCCATGCTCTCGCGCTGGCTTTGGCCGAGCGGTGCTCCGTCGTCAAGGAGCTGAAGCTGGATGTAAGCTTCAACCCATGCATTGGCGTGGAGGGAGCAAGAAAGCTGGCAGCTGCGCTGGCCGACGCGTCCCCGAACCTGGAGGCCTTCGCGCTGCTGTTCAACTGCAGCTACATCGGCAAAGAGGGCGCCGCGGCTGTGGCAGAGGAGCTGAGCAGGACAAACTTGTGGAAGCTGGAACTGAACTTGGAGGACAACGCCCTCGGCAAGGACGGGGCGGCCGCAGTGACGGAACACCTCAGCCGCTGCGGCAAGCTGGTGGACTTGAGCCTGGATTCTGGGCAGCCCAGTACTTTCGTTTTTATTTTCGGGGTTCCCTTCTACAGGAACCGACCAACAAAGCGGCAATTACCCTGATTGTAGAAAAATAGAATGGGTGCTGGGCTACCGAGGATCTCGGCTACCATCAAATGGGGAATGAAGGTGCCACCGCAATGGTGGAACACCTGTGTAGGAAGCTGAAGTTGGTGAGGCTGCACATGAACCTGCAGCAGAACAACCTCGGGAATGACGCCGCCTCCGCGCTGGCGGGGCATCTCAGTCGGTGCTCCGAGCTTGTGGAGTTGAACGTGAGCTTCTGGAACAACCGACTTGGCAATCAGGGTGTCGCCAAATTTCTGGAGCACTTATGCAGGTGTCCGAACCTGGAGACCCTCGCAGTGCAATTTACCAGCAACGTCCTGGGCAGCGCCGCTCCTGCGGCGGCTCACCTCAGCAGGTACCGCAAGTTGTCCTCGCTGGAGCTGGGGTTGGGCCTGAACAGCTGGTGCCAGGACGACGCTGTTGCGGTGGCAGAGCACCTCAGCAGGTGCGCGCACCTGGAGAGGCTGCACCTGGACTTCATGTTCGGCACTCTCTGCACTGAGGCCGTGGCTAAGGTGGCTGAGCACATCTCCAAGTGCAGCAAGCTGACGGACCTGAACCTATCGCTCTACCACAACCAAGCTCGGGGAGAAGGTGTGATCGCACTGGCGCAGCACCTTTGCAGGTGCCCAAACCTGGAGACCTTGTCGTTGCAGTTGGCAGCCAACGGCTTCTGCGCCGCTGATTTGGCAACAATGGCAGAGCACCTGAACCTCGGTATCGATTTGGGATAGCTTCTGCTTCCCCAGATTGTTTTAACATGGAGCGAATTATAAATAATTTTGGGGACTGTTGAAATCGACGCCTAGGAAACTTGGTGGCCTTGCGGTACCCTTTACCTTTATAAGTTCCCTTCTAAAGTCACCAACCAAAGAAGGGTACCCTTATCAAAATATGGCTACTGGGCTACTAAGGAACACCCTAAACCCTAAACCCTAAACCCTAAACCCTAAACCCTAAACCCTAAACCCTAAACCCTAAACCCTAAACCCTAAACCCTAAACCCTAAACCCTAAACCCTAAACCCTAAACCCTAAACCCTAAATCGACACCTAGGAATAGGTGTCCGAAGCTCCAGAAGCTGGCGCTGTCTTTCGGCAGAAACGACCTGGATGAGGCGACTCAAACAGCCTTGCGAGGCTGGCTGGCAGGTCTTCCTGAGGTGCAACTCTCCTGCTGGTACTAGCAACGAAAAGGAGTTTGGGGTTTGGGGTTTAGGGTTTAGGGTTTAGGGTTTGCTGCTCATGCACATGAGGCACAGAGGGCACAGGAGGCACATGCTTGGGATGCACATGCTCAGGGATAACCCTAAACCCTAAACCCTAAACCCTAAACCCTAAACCCTAAACCCTAAACCCTAAACCCTAAACCCCAAACCCCAAACCCTAAACCCTAAACCCTAAACCCTCAACCCTAAACCCTAAACCCTCCTCTTCGATCCCACAGCGTTGCGCGGCTCCAAGAAAGCGAAGTCGGCATTGCCATGTTGGCTCGCTTCAATGCCGGCCTTGGAGTTCATCCACAGAGTTTAGGGTTTGGGGTTTAGGGTTTAGGGTTTAGGGTTCAGGGTTTTGGGGTGAGGGGTTTAGGATTTAGCAAACCCTCAATCCGATCTGGCACCCAAACTCAACCTTCATGTTCAAGGCCCAAGCCCGAGTATTCCCCTTAATCTTCAATCACAAGCCTTCGTTCCCAAACCCGAAGAGCACTAGACCCCAAACGTTTTCAGCCCAAACCCACATCCTGGCCTTACGATATGCAGCCGTACAATCCCCAAGCCCTAAACCCTACACAACTAAACTTTAAACCCTAAACCCTAAACCCCTAAACCCTAAAACCCTAAACCCTAAACCCTAAACCCTACGGAGGAGTTCCTCACCAAGAAGGGGATCAGCTACTGGCCGACCGTTGCGAACTTCATATTTTGCTACTTTCAGGAGCGTCTGCACTTCGGGAAGGTTCTTGGGGGAGGGGGAGGGGGCAAAAGGGCGGGGTGCCGTGAACCCGAAACCCCAAACCTTAACCCTAAACCCTAAACCCCTAACCCCTAAACCCTAAACCCTAAACCCTAAACCCTAAACCCTAAACCCTAAACCCTAAACCCTAAACCCTAAACCCTAAACCCTAAACCCTAAACCCTAAACCCTAAACCCTAAACCCTAAACCCTAAACCCCATCAACTTGGGGGGAAAGGACCCTGGAGTTCCTAACGAGGGCTCCCCTTTTCTGTTGGGTTTAGGGTTTAGGGTTTAGGGTTTAGGGTTTAGGGTTTAGGGTTTAGGGTTTAGGGTTTAGGGTTTAGGGTTTAGGGTTTAGGGTTTAGGGTTTAGGGTTTAGTGTTTAGGTTTTAGGGTTTAGGGTTTAGGGTTTAGGGTTTAGGGTTTAGGGTTTAGGGTTTAGGGTTTAGGGTTTAGGGTTTAGGGTTTAGGGTTTAGGGTTTAGGGTTTAGGGTTTAGGGTTTAGGGTTTAGGGTTTAGGGTTTAGAGTTTAGGGTTTTAGTGGTTTTGGGTTTTAGGGGTTTGCGGTTCTAGGTTGTTTGTACCCTTTTGGGGGGGCCTTCAAGGCCCTCGTTTTCCTGTTTTGAGAACGGGTGTTGCAGGGTTTGCGGTTTAGGGTTTAGGGTTTAGGGTTTAGGGTGTAGGGTTTAGGGTTTAGGGTTTAAGGTTTAGGGTTTAGGGTTTAGGGTTGAGGGTTCTCTAAACCCTAAACCCTGAACACTAACCCCTAAACCCTCTTAGGGTTCTAGGGATTTCAAGCGGCCAGGACCCGAAGACCACCGAGGCGAAGCTACGGGAGCGTGGGATCCTCGTGCGTCCGAAGAAGGCGCATTTAGCGGTGCGAGGTTTAGGGTTTAGGGTTTAGGGTTTCGGGTTTAGGGTTTAGGGTTTAGAGTGTTCGGGTTTTCGGGTTTGGGGTGTTTGGGGTGTTTAGGGTGTTTAGGGTGTTTAGGGTGTTTAGGGTGTTTAGGGTGTTTAGGGTGTTTAGGGTGTTTAGGGTGTTTAGGGTGTTTAGGGTGTTTAGGGTGTTTAGGGTGTTTAGGGTGTTTAGGGTTTAGGGTCAGGGTCTCGGGTTTCGGGTTTAGGGTTTTTGTTAGGCGACTAGGGGCACAGTTCCATCGAACCCGTGCAAATTTCTTGCCCTTGTCAAGTTTAGCCTAAACCCTAAACCCTAAGCCCTAAGCCCTAAGCCCTAAGCCCTAAGCCCTAAGCCCTAAGCCCTAAGCCCTAAGCCCTAAGCCCTAAACCCTAAACCCTAAACCCTAAACCCTAAACCCTAAACCCTAAACCCTAAACCCTAACCCTAAACACTAACCCCTAAGCCCTAAGCCCCAACCCTAAGTCCTTAAAATCATAAATCCGAAGCCAGAGCTCCGGCTTCAGCCCCTCCGTACGTCTTGGTGAGCGGCTTCAGTGTTTGCATTTTTTGGTTCTAGAGTCTTAGGGTGCAGGGTTCAGGGTGTAGGGGTTTAAGCCCAACTATATATCCTGGACCCTATATCCTGGACCCTACACCCTCAACCGCACCAGTGCAGCGTACTCAGGCTAGGCAGCTAGCCGTGTGAATGCCGTGGGTTCGCGACCATCACCGTACTCCCTAAACCCTAAAGTCTAGCCCATTCTAACTTTTTCTGTGCGCTGCTGAGCTAGACGGTCGCAGCTTCGAAGCCCGCGTGCAACTACTCGTGTCATCTTCACACCCTGGGCCCTCAAGTGCTCCGAGCTAGCTGCTGTAGTCGCCCAAGTCGGGCGTTGCGCAGCCATGCCTTCTCTAGCAGCGCTGGCCGGCGCCTGCTTTACCGGCGCGGGCTGTGGAGCGGGGATCGTCAAGCTGAACACGGCCACCGTCACGCATCTTGGTGCAATGCTTTGGGGGCTGCAGGGATGTGAGCCAAGGCCCGGAAAGAAGCTGAGCTGGGCGACCGGCCATCATAGACATCACGCTGGACCTCTGTAGAATTCTCTTGATCCCAACCCCAAACCCCAAACCCCAAACCCTAAACCCTAAACCCTGAACCCCAAACCCTAAACCCTAAACCCTAAACCGCCAAGCGTTAGACCCTAGTTCTGCCCTGTTGCGCTGCTTGGAATCAGGATGACGTAGCCGGCTTGGACGTGTGTATGTAGGGTCTACCTCAAGGCTCCTAGTTCCTTTTTGGGTTAGTTATATTGGGGATAGAATCCTACCCCAAGAAGGTACTACATGGGGGATTCTAGTATCGTACCCCAAAAAGGTACAGCATAGGAGCCCCAGGGTCTAGGGATGAAGATGTGGGGGTGTACTAGGTGTAACCCTAAACCCGAAACCCTAAACCCTAAACCCTAAACCCTAAACCCTAAACCCTAAACCCTAAACCCTAAACCCTAAACCCTAAACCCTAAACCCTAAACCCTAAACCCTAAACCCTAAACCCTAACCCCTAAACCCTAAACCCTAAACCCATGTTCGTTTGAAAGCTTTGGGCTTGGGGTGTCGGCTCCCGTGGGCGAAGGCTCCCAAATCCTACGCCCGAAGCCCTAAGACCCTAGACCCTAAACCCTAAACCCTAAACCCTAAACCCTAAACCCTAAACCTAAATCTACAGACCCTAGGTAAACCTAAGCCCCGAAGCCCCCAAGCCCTAAACCTATAGACCCTAGGTATGGGAGACCTAATCTTACCAAGGCCGAGCGCGCCGGCAGAGGAGGCACCAAAGGTCGCAGCGACTGCCGCGCCGAGTCCGAAAACAGACAAGACCGGCGGCAAGACGCGCATTGCTCAGTGCAATTGCGGGCAGCCTCCAAGGTGCACAGCATAGCCCTTATTCCTTTTTTCGGGTTTAGGGTTTAGGGTTTAGGGTTTAGGGCTACTAGGGCCCAGAGTAGACCTTATTCCCCTTTTTTTCCTAGGGTTTAGGTTACACCCTTTCTTTTCCTAGGTGACTCCTGGTTCTATATGGCGTCCCTATCCTTCCTTTGGGGATTGGGCTTCGTACCCCGTGGAGATAGAAATAAGTCCTGAACCTTAAGCCCTAAACCCTAAACCCTAAACCCTAAACCCTAAACCCTAAACCCTAAACCCTAAACCCTAAACCCTAAACCCTAAACCCTAAACCTAACCCTAAACCCTAAACCCTAAACCCTAAACCCTAAACCCTAAACCCTAAACCCTAAACCCTAAACCCTAAACCCTAAACCCTAAACCCTAAACCCTAAACCCTAAACCCTAAACCCTAAACCCTAAACCCTAAACCCCAAACCCTAAACCCTAGACCCTAGACCCTAAACCCTAAACCCATGTTTGTTCTCCCAAGCTTGCTGGGTAAGAACTAAGGCTTCACCTAACAGTCACCGGACCCGATCCAGAGCGGATCAGCTTGTGTCACTGCAACCTGTGCCAGAAGCAGTCGCCTGAAATCACCAGCAGAAGAACGGTTTAGGGTTTAGGGTCTAGGGTTTAGGGCTTAGGGTTTTTTAAGACCATCCAGGGTTCCTTTAGCGCCGCCCTCAGCAGCAGGAGTGTGCCGGGAGCTTGGAGCCAGGCCCCCCTCAGAAGTTAAGACCATCTTCTGTTCTTAAAAACCCTCCTCTGCTGGTGTTTGTTAAAAGCCCTCTTTTGTTAGGGCCAGAAGCAGTCGCTGGGTGCTGAGTAGGAGGGTAGGACCTGGGCTGCTTTATGTTTTTTCTTAAGAGGCATCTTAACCCTAAACCCCAAGCCCCAAGCCCCAGACCCCAAACCCCAAACCCTAAACCCTAAACCCCAAACCCTACACCCTAAACCCTGAACCCCAAACCCCAAACCCCAAACCCCAAACCCCAAACCCCAAACCCTAAACCCTAAACCCTAAACCCTAAACGCTAAACCCTAAGCTTTTTCAAGTGGGCAACCCAGGTCGGGGAACATCTTCGCAGTTCAGGCTCGCTTCCCCAAGGAGCAGGTGGTCATTGAAGGGAAGTCGACACCCTGGAAGATGTCAAAAGACGAAGCGGATCAGCTAGGATACTTGGAGTATACTGAGAGTTTGGGGTTTCGGGTGTAGGATTTAGGGTTTAGGGCTTTTCTGGTTAGTGGCAGCTGAGCGGGTACCCTTTTGCCCTTTTCTTGTGGGTTCCGGTTTCCCTTGCAAGCGGAACCAAGCCTCAAAAGATACCCTCAGCCCTGCCCTCACAAGCCCCCAAGCTATGGTCTCCGGGCTACCAAGGATATCCCAATTGCGTCAGCCTAGGGGGTGGCGCCGCCTTCCACTTCTGCCCAGTTTGTGGCTCAACAGTCTGGTACACCGCCGACTCCGATTCTGCACGAGTGGGCATCAAGGTCGGCTGCTTCACGGACCCAACTTTCCCGCAGCCGAAGCTGTCAGGTTTTGAATCCTACATGCATCCCTGGGCTTTGAACACTGCGGAGCTGCAGGTGCAACATCTCAAGTAGGCTCGGAAGGGGGCACCCGAGAAGCTCCTCGGGCGAGCGGCCAGTTTAAGAGTCGGCCGTCTCTGGGCTTTGGCGCCGCCCTGTCACCAGACAAGGCTTCTTTTGGAGCCTAGAAGCCCCCCGCAAAAGTCTGCCCCGTGAAAGCAGGGAAAAAGGGGTGCGGCCATGGATTGGGAGCTCAAGAAGCTATGAAAATGCCCATGGGGTCTCTCCCAGCATCCAAAATCCCTAAACCCTAAACCCTAAACCCTAAATCATGAACAACTCTGAGAAGCCGCCAGCAAAGATGAAAGTATCCTGAGCACAGGACGCCAACGATACTCTCGGCCTGCGCGTGAGCTTTGGCACAGAGCAGCAGATGCGGGACACAATCAAGGCACTGACTATTTCTGGAGTGGCAGTGGCATGTTAGTGTTGTCCGTCGTGTACCTGTCCGCATCATGTGTGCCTGCAGACATGTAACATGTATGTTTGATGGTTGAAAACTATGTCTTTCTTTTGTCCTGGGAGGTTTGAAAGGTGCGGGCTAGCATTGCTGAAAGGGGGGGCTGTCGGTTTGGAATCTCTTCATGAGGGGAGTGGTCTACACAGGCATTCAGAGCAGTGAACCCCTAAACCCTAAACTCTTAAACCCTTAGACCGTTCAACCTTGAAACCCTCAAACCCAAAATTTGTCAACCCTTCAATCCTTCAACCTTTCAACCCTTAAACCCGTAAACCCTTGGCCCTTCAACCCTGAAACCCCTTAAAGCCCCTTGTTTCCGGTCGAACCGACCCGACGGTTTGGCACTTCGTTCTTTGGCAAGCAAAGCGAAGGCGATGGAGGAGCTCGTCTGACCATCTTGGAGGACTGCGCCGAAGCAATGTTGGAATAAGAAAGATAGTAGCAATAATAAGAATAGTACTAGCAGTAATACTAAGAATAAGAAAAATAATAATGAGAAGAAGAGTAAGAATAATAATGATAATCATAATAATGGTAGATAGTTGGGGTTGATGGTTCAGGACTTAGCTGTATACGGCTTTCGGGTGTCAGGGCCATGGGGTGTATACTTTTAGGGTTTTGCCCTGATCCTCGCTCCGGGGCGCACCCCGGGCCTCATGAAAAAGCAGGGGCACCGTTTAGGGTTTAGGGTTTAGGGTTTAGGGTTTAGGGTTTAGGGTTTAGGGTTTAGGGTTTAGGGTTTAGGGTTTTTGCAGTTCGGGGAAAAGGGGTCCTGGCGTCTCTTGTAGCTAGCCTCCACCCATACCCCTAGGAGGATCCAACAAGTAGAACTCCCAGAAGTGCCCTGCACGGCCAGTGGTTCACTCTCAGGAACCCTTAACCTTAAACGGATTTCCTGTTTGGATCCTCCCAGGGTCTGCCCTAAACCTTAAATCCAAACCCTAACCCCTAACCCCTAACCCCTAACCCCTAACCCCTAACCCCTAACCCCTAAACCCTAAACCCTAAACCCTAAACCCTA